TTAATTAGTTTGATTACAATTACTTGGTTTACATTGCCAACACCGTATTGCAAAGTTGGCAAAGTTGTTTGCCATAAAGTAGGATTTTCATTGTGAAAACTTTGTGGATATAGCAAATTTTACGTGGATGAAATTGCTCATGTTTACCTCAAAATATTCATTATTTTGAATATCAATTACCTTTAACAAATTATACTTATGCTGATTCTTTGAATAATGCTTGTCACTAAAAATAAAATCAAGACTTATTTATCATATATTTGTATCCTATCTATGTACAATAGAATACTTGAACCGTCTACTTTTTTAATCGACTTAAAATTTTGTGAGATTTTCGATAGTTAAATATCTTGTGAAAATTAGATACATATGCGATATATGTTTGGATCTATATCATTCTCATGAAAATCAAATTACTTGTTGTATTTTTTGACCTTTTCTTTATATTTAACATACAAATTTCTTTCATGTTTTACTTAATTTATCAAAAATGCATTTCAATACAGTAGAACCTATTTATATTAATACTGTCTAACTTAATAACCTGTGATAACTAATATATGCAGTCCAGTCCCAAGTCGGGCCCATGTACTTATTAATAAACCTCCGGAAGTTAATAATTAATATTCCACAGACAGTATTAAAACTGTTTTACATTAATAATCACTGCGTGGATGGCGACAGACGGAAACCGCAGTTGAGGTGGATGGATACGAATGACATGTGTCACGTAACTGACCTGACACATGTCCCGACTCACATTCTTTCTCGTGGCAGCCATGTGTCACCTAAATTCTAACCTGACTGTCCTGATTCGGCACGGCAGCCTTGCCAAGAATGAGATAACATCGAACCGCATTTGTTCACAAGCTCATCGCATCACAAGCTCGACTCGCATGGAGAAGCAGAACCTAGAAAGACCTTTGTTGAAGAACTCCACAGGCACACTTCAGAAGACATGATGATAATACTGTAGCGGGTGAGATGCTATGTTCTTTCGTGAACTGTGACTGAACTTCTGTCATAGGAAACCTTCATTTGTTCACGTACGAGCTGTCTCTCTCGTCTTCCCTCTCTCCCCTTCAAGAAACAAGAACTTCAAGAATGCTTTGTGTTCTCGACACGCATTCGAATCTGACAAAGCACTTCACCTCCTCCTCTCTTCTCTTTCTTCTCCTCGTGAAGGTCTTGATTATTTGTGACGGAAAAAATATGGCAGCTGTTTCAGACTCTTGCGGGAGCCCGAGGTGTGGTCTATTTTGTAATTTATAGCTTGCTGTTTTTCATCCCTTGTGTTTCTGTTCACATCTTCTAGCTCGTCTCAATTTCGTTCTATGAAGTACAAGGGCAAATCTGACAGCAATGTCAGTTCTTGATCTGGTGTTGTGCGTTTGCATTTTCGTTCCTGAGCGACTTCACGTCTCTAGATCTAACAGGCTTTGGTTGAAAATTTTTTTTGCAAAGACTAACTGGTCCAGTTTTTGCCACTGTTCATGTGTAGGATCTTTTTTAAAGAATGACACTTGACACCATTGTCGAGGTTGCAACTGGAGTGCATGAACTAACATTGCTGCTAGATCTTGATCTGGTGTTGTGCGTTCACGTTTTGGGTTTGGCATTCATAACGCATTCCCTGGACTCGCAAATCTTAGAGCTTGCAAAGGAGGAGGGCCTGGAGGAGCCACGCTTGGCATGTGCATCGATACTGCAGTCATGTTATCTCTCACAAACAGGAACATGAACATAAGCTACAAGTTATTCCTGGAGAAGTTGCTTAGTTTAGCATGACATGAGGCTTATAGAAAACAGACAGAGACAACTAGCACAACGAGATGAGAATACAAACTAATCGTCAAATTGTACAGTATTTGATGAACAATGGATTCTTTAGAAAATGTACAACCTATGATACTTACAGAAGTAATTTTTCTTACGTCAAATAAAAAAAATGTAAACATTATGAGCAATTCGTCTTTCAAAGGTTGGTTATAGATTTGGCAGAAATCTTTTGACACTTGGGGCATCTAAACCTTGGAAAAATATCCCAAGATAGGCTTCTGAATGAGCTTGCTAGATCTCATAGTGCTATCTTATCCTTGACTGTCTGAATGGCAGCAATCATCTCATGGTCGACAATGTCTTGCTGCATCGAGATGTGCTGCAACAAACTTGCACATTGCAGTGCTTCAGATGTCTTCACAAGAATATATTCTTGAATATCGTCTGCCTCCACTTCATCTTCTGGCACAGGATCGATGGAGAGGTCTTGCACAATTTCTTCCTCAGTCGGAACATAAGCAACTTCGCGTTTAGCAGGATAGTCGATGAGATTGCAAATATCCATTGGGTTCCGGTACTGAAGCTCTTGAACCTGCTCTTCGAGTTCCTTGATCACATCAAGATCAATAAGCGATTGTTCCAAGACCGATGTCACGTCAGCATCAATGGTGCAAATTTGGCAATGACGAAAGCAGTTGCGGATTGTTTCTAGTTTCACATCCATGCTCCAAACGGCAATAGCAATGCGCATAGCTTCGAGGACGTCGATCTTCTTGGGATCGGCTACCTTGTCTTGAAGGCGTTGAATGAGAAGACGATTGAAACGGCGCCGATTGTAAGCCTTCAGGTTTCAGATAATTCCTGCGTCGCAAAGTTGAATCTTCGAGGTCATGTTTTGTGGCAAATAGAATACGGTTGAGTTGTGGAGTGTAACAACAGATGGAAGTTGCATTAACTAGATATGTGAGCTGCAGTTGTCCATAATCAAAAGAACATTATGTCCTGTCATTCGCGCATCAAACTCTTTCAACCACTCAAGAAAGATGACTTGTGTCATCCATGCCTTTGAGTTGCTTCGGTACTTGCATCCAAAGTTGTCTCTGTTGATATTTTTGAAACAGCGAGGATTTTTGTATTTGCCAATGACAAGAAGTGGAAGCTTGTCGAATCCGTCAGCATTGCAACACACAGCCAGCGTGAGACGCTCCTTGTTTTGTTTGCGTCCTTCAAGCTGCTTTGTGGCCAAGAAATTGTCTGCCTCTTGAGATGTCATATGTTAGTGAAAGTAAATCAATGATTTGGCAGTGAGCATACAGTACTATACATGATGCTTTTACCTGCATTCTGTAAAATAATCCAGAATCATACATGTTGTAGATGTCACGTTGCTCATACTGATCCAGAGTTAAACGAATATGTGGCAAGCTCTCTTCGATCAGAGTCATGCTGACGGATCCAGACTCTCCAAATCGACAGTAAGACTTGATGGTGTGGCGATTCTTGAATGCCTCTAGCCACCCATTTGAGAACTCAAAGGCTACGTATCCAGGATAGAGTTTGGTAAGAAAATACGTAGCCTTCTCTTTGATGAGATCACCTGACATATTGACTTGGTCCTGATATGCGAGTAACCACCTGTACAGATCTGTCTCCGTCAGTGGATATTTCACTAGTTCGCTGTCGCTTTGCCGCTCGATTCACCTCCTCCTTCTTGGAAAGGATTTCAACTGAACGTTTGAGAGTCAGAGAAATTGTTCCCTGACTGACAGAAACTTTATGCGTTTCTTGAAGCCATTTGATCAAGTCTGATTGACTTAGTGATGGATGCTTTTGCTTGTGCTCACAAAGAGCTATCCAAACTTTATTGGTCATGTTCGTCTTGATGGACCTTTTTGAAGCCATTGGGTTCTGCATCTGATTGTGTCTGCTATGCAGGGTGAACGCAACTGTTACAAATGAAGCAACTCAAGTAGAAGTGACGGCCGTCTTGATTTTTTTCCCTCTAGAGTGCAGCTTGCAGGTTTTGACGACAGCGCTATAAAGCTACTGAGCTCAATAGAATTCAATCTCAAAACATGTCTCATTGTTACATCGAGACCGATACCCTTCCATTGAAATCAGTTTTCAAGACAGGCCCTGTGAGACAATGTCCGGGCCGATTCGCTGCATGCGCTTCTAGGCTTTAGCTTTTTATACAGAACCAATGACTCTAGTTAATGTGCAAATAACTGTCCCACCACAAATGACGCGAAGAGAGAACCTCTCTTTATTAATAAAATGTCTAAATTAATACAAAACAGCCGGTACCGGCAGTATTAATTTAGACAGGTTCTACTGTATATAGTTAAATTATCAATTTTGAATTTACTTATTACGATATGCTTAAACATTGTTATTTTTACATTATAGAATTCAAACAATTTAAGTAGATGGTTTTGTTAATGTTTGATCAATATCTTCTATTCAGGATGACGTTTATTCAAATGCATATATCTCTTTTTTTATACAGAAATCAATAAAAATATGGAAGTCAAATTTCTCTACATTATCTTAATGGCTTCAGATAAAACCTTGATTGTGGGTCTGCTATTAACAAATGCTAGCGTTCAAAAATATTAGGGAAAGTTTCTAGTTGAATAGTTGAAGTATGCACGGAAAGACTTATCTAATCATGGTACAATCAATTTTTTAATGTTTATATTACCTGTTCAAGAGATATGTTCTACCAAAGTTTCTCGCTGAAGGAATCACAATGGTTTACCCGTCGCTAGAAAGAATTTCAACACAACAAGATGTAATTTTGACTTCCCCAAGATAAGTAAGAGTCTCTGTGTACATGTGACCATGTACAAAATAAAGTATCTCGCATCAGTCGCGAAGTTGATCGTCTGCAAACACTCTTCTTTTAAGTCACGAGAGATGTTAAGAAGACCACTAACCAAAAAACCCAACCAAAAAAAAAAGAAGGAAGGGGAGTTCAGCAAACTCACACGAAACTCACACGAAGAATCAGAATCTAAAGACCGAGGAATAGAAGCAGCATATCTTGAAGGTGGAGCATCATTCAGATGTGGCCAACATGATCATATCTCCATTGCTAACCAGTTGACCATATTGCACGAATGGATATCCACTACTTATTGGGAAAAAGACAGGAAGCAGTTCGATCCCACAAATGCCTGGAGGAACCACAGATTTCAGTCCGTCGTCTACTTACTGGCAGCAGTCTGAGGATGCACTTGGTCACGAGTGTGAGTGTGAACACCTTCCGAGTCTGATTCCCATCTAAGAGCGACAAACTACTTTCCGGATTTGAAGTTGTCTTCAATCCGTATATAAATCTTGCGCCTAAGGAGTCATCATGAGATCTCGTGCTTTTGTGTATATAGATTGTGGGACATGAGAGCAGATATTTTCACTAGGGAGTATAGAACAGATGCAATGTGCTTGCCTCAAGAGATATTTCATCGAGCACGCCGTTACTGACTCGGTTGAGTCGCGAATGGATCAGCTGGAGGCAGGAGTGGAGCACCACAAGGCGCAGGTTATCGAAGTGGAGATGAGTCCTGCTCTTCCGGGCTCAACGCGCGTGAGCGTGGTGCAAGCGTCCACCATCTTTTACGACACTCCTGCTACCCTGGACAAAGCGGAAAAATACATAGCCGAAGCTGCTGCGCTCGGTGCACAACTGGTTTTGTTTCCAGAGGCTTTTATCGGTGGGTATCCTCGTGTTGCTGCATTTGGTGCCGTTATCGGCAGTCGCTCTTCCAAGGGGCGTGAGGAATTCCGCAAGTATCATGCCTCGGCTGTTGAAGTTCCAGGTCCCGAGGTGGACAGGCTAGCAGCGATGGCAGGAAAATTCAAATTAGTCTTGATCATGGGCGCTATAGAGCGAGAGGGTGGTACTCTGTATTGCTCGACGCTATGTTTTGATTCACGAGGAGCTTATATGGGCAAACACCGAAAACTCACGCCTACTTGTTCTGAGAGACTCATCTGGGGATGCGGTGATGGATCTGATCTGAAAGTTTATGACACGCCTGTAGGTCGGATCGGTGGATTGATCTGCTGGGAGAACAGGATGCCCCTGGCCAGAACTGCGTTGTATGCGCAAGGTTTAGGGGTTTACTGCATTCCCGACAGCTGATTCCAGGGAGAACTGGCAGGCGTCAATGTTGCACATTGCCATGGAAGGTGCTTGTTTTGTGTTGTCCGCCAATCAGTTCTGTCGACGGAAAGACTATCCTCCTGCACCTGAGTACACCTTCGGATTTTCTGCTGAAGAGGAGCCCTCACCCAAAACGATTGTCTGTCCTGGTGGCAGTGTTATAATGTCCCCCTTGGGCAGGGTGCTTGCTGGTCCGCATTATGAAGGGGAAACGGTTCTTGCTGCAGATTTAGATTTGAGTGAAACCGTCAAAGCGAAGTTCGACTTTGACGTTGTAGGGCACTACTCAAGGCCAGAAGTCTTCAGTCTCACTGTGAGAAATCAAGGTTACAAGCCGGTCATATTCACTTCATAGTGAGATGGCAAATTACAAATTCTAAGAGGGATGACCAAATCATTCATATATACATGTACAGTATATATGTATATATCACAATATTAATTCTGGGTTGGCTTTTTTTCTCAATCGATGGAATCCGTTCATCCTGATCTCATTGAATTAGTTCTTGTACGAGGCAGCAATACGATGCTTGACCTTAAAAAAAAAGCATCGAGATTCTAAATTATTTGTCATTGCAGCCCAAACTTTTGCACCTTCTGCAATGGGAGAAAACAAAATACGCCATGATACATCTGAGCTTACGTATTGGGGGGGGGGGGGGGGGGGGAAACAACAATCAACTAAAAAGTCAGTGTTTACATGTATTTAAGTAGAGTTACAAAAATATGTTCTCGTGTATGGGACGAAAGTGGAAATGCCTCTGTCTGGAGGAGAATGTCTTAGAACACTCTTGGAATATCAGCGCTAAATCTTCTGCGCCCACTTTCTTGGTCCTGCCGCAGTTCAACTGTGGGCGAGCAGAGCTTCTGAGAAAAGAATCATCAGAATGTAGTATGTGCATCCACACTTGCGTCTGTAGTTCCTTCAGCCTTCAGCTCTGGTTTCCACCAAAGATAAAGAAACACTTGACACTCCATCGGCTGCAGATATGGACCTAAGCAAGACACTAAACCATCGCAAAAGGTTCTCATGGAGAAAGCTTGAATGATCGAAGTAGAAGAATTTGAAGAGGCTACGGACTACAAATTTCAGCCACCGATTTACATTGCAGAAACGTTTTATATTGCATAAATCCCGAGGAAGCAAACTCGACCGACTTGGTTTCAAAATCCACGTCTAGGAATGCATCTAATCCAAATATAAAACATGTGATTTCTGGAGACTAGGCTTCTACAAGTGCATAAGTATCCATTCGGCTGTGCAATCTCTTGATGCAAAATGCAATCGATAGCATACTTGGATTTGATTTGAAGCTTCTAATAGTTTCAACTTGATGTGCAATTTCGTGCTACTCTCAGAGTTGCCACCGGCATGTGAAGGCATGTGAAGATCCACAAACTGCACATGACTGATGCCGTCAGTGACATGTTTCACTTTTCAGTTTCATGCGACGAAAAAAGGTGGTGAGAAGGATATCAGCACTTTAAAAGGGAGAGAAAGCTTCATAGCTAGGCGGTTCTGGAAAGTTTTAGACATATTATTAGTTTATATCAACAAAAAAGATCCAGAGAAGTAAAATGACGGAAAATGTAAGGAGAAGTATAAATTAGTATTGTGCTCCAAATGGGGAATACAAATTCAACGCATTTTTCACGCTATGGTGACTCTTACAAGGGGTAAGTTGTAGCACCCATGTTGATCATGAAATTTAATGTACCGTCAATAGAATCGTGGTCTCAATGCTCCCCTAAAGGATCCGGTAATCGTGCTCTAAATCTGAAGTATTCGATCTCCATCGTTGGTTTCAAGCTCCCACTGGAAATACCCTCGAATTCGACCGTACTCCCTGACCCGAAGCTGCATCACCTCCCTTAACTTCCAGGGATGAGTTCCACAAAAGTCCAGTTTCTCGGGCAATGCTCGAAAGCAGACAATCCAGAACATCTGCGTTGTTGGATTCTGCCCACCTGTTGACCCAGTATTTCCTTTTCCAAAGAATCAGAGCTTGCAAACTGCATAATGCAGTTTCGAAACCAGACGGTAAACCGATCCAAATCTCCTACTCGGGAATGGAGCCGAGTAGCAAGACGAGCGGCCGTTGTTACTACACTGACTGATGGATTCGATAGAATCTGACAGCAATTGGCGGGAAGGCTCTCATGGCTTCCAGCGAAGGTCTCAAAGTAATCATCAGTTTCTAGAAAGAGAATGTTCAATCATCGTCGACGCCAGTCCCTCCAAATTCATACCATTCATCTGTCGGCCTCGACAGATTCATCAGATCTTATGCGCAAATGGGACCGGCGAAAATGTAGGCTCGAAAAGGGTCGAAATCTATACACATACGGATCTAACAAAGAGAAATTGAGAGTATGAGGCCTAGAAGAGTAGTACCAATGACTACGAACTTGCTGAACCCTACGGCCTTCGAAGAGTTGTTGGGGTCATAGGGCTCGAGGCACCTGTCCTTGTCATCAGTAGATGACCATACCACGGCGTCCGAGGCGTCCACCAGAGTGAGAACGCCCGCGTCCGAGAGCTTCACGTCCACGACTCCTTTGTTCTCTGTCTCGGTCCGCCATGAAATCAGCTTGGCGCCTCTGGATTCCAGAGTCAGGCGCAGATCTCCGCTGGACGTGAGAGTCAGAGAGCACGTCTCCACCTTGAGGGGCCTGCAATTCTCCCTGAAGGTCAAATTCCCGAGAATATTGTGAACCTCGGTCCAGCAGTACTGGTAAGTCTTCTCGGTCCCAAATCCGTCTAAGATCAGAACCAGAGCGTAATCGCCACTGGGTGATGCCAAGGCCGTCAATGAAGTGCGGCCTGTGTACGACGTGTTCCCGACGGAGAGGATCGTCGCATTCGGCACGAACTTGAGCGGTAGAGCGGGAGCATTGCCCACTGGAGCCGGTGCTACGGTCGGTGGGGCAGGAGGGCTCGTTGCAGGTGCCACAGGTGGAACGATGGGTGCAGCAGGCGCCGGAGCAGAGGCTGGTCCCTGGGCCGAGGCAAAACTCGACAGCAGCTGAATCGCGAAGATGATCGCCCAAATTCGAGGCATCGAGCCTCGATCTTCCATCTCCCCGGCGTGGGACTCTCGATCAACTAACTAGCTGAGAGTTTCAACCGAACCGGAATGCGGCAATGGAAATGGAAATTCAGCCGGTCTATCGACGAGCTCTCTGGGAAGAATGGAACTGACAATCGGCCGATGTCGAGGGGAATCACGGGAGATTGAATGAACTTAGAAACTCATCCTTCGTCAATGGCTTAAGAGTTTGAACGGTGACCTCTTCCACTAGCAATTGCCCTGACTTAAGCCCAAATTAAACCTCAGAGTGTACTCAAAGTCCACATGAGTACACGGTGAACCCGCTAACCCGCTAACCCGCTAACGCGCTCTGCAGCCAGAAGAGTTTTAATGACCATAGGTAGGCCCGATCCACGTTGACTACCGCACCCACCCAGTTCCTGCGATTTGAGCCGGGCTTACAGGCGAAATTGTAGTTGTCGTGGTTGCTGCACGACCGACCCAGTCAAGCCCTCTGCCAGAGTGTACTCAAAGTCCACATGAGTACACGGTGAACCCGCTAACCCGCTAACCCGCTAACGCGCTCTGCAGCCAGAAGAGTTTTAATGACCATAGGTAGGCCCGATCCACGTTGACTACCGCACCCACCCAGTTCCTGCGATTTGAGCCGGGCTTACAGGCGAAATTGTAGTTGTCGTGGTTGCTGCACGACCGACCCAGTCAAGCCCTCTGCTCAAAGTCCAGCCTCATGTATGGCCGCAAAACTGTAGTCTTCTCGTACACGGTGGACTTTGTAGCATCATATAGCCTTCTCTTTTCCATGCATTCAACATCTGCAAGTCAGCATGCGAAACTTCAGTCTGCTTGGTTTAATTTATGTCAAACTTGGCTGAATTTCGGGAACAAGTCAATACATTCAACGTCAGCAATCAGCGGTACCGCTCTATCACAAGAGCTTCACTGATTCACATTGCGAGAACATGGTGTCTGCACTGCAGGCTCGATGGATCGAAGGTACAAACTGTGGTACTTCATAGGAGAAATTGGTACTTGATATGAAGAAGATAGAGTATCATCATAAATCTTACTTCTATTTACAACCAGGAAGCATACTATCCGGTGGTCAAGATTCCCAGTTTAAAAGCTCTTGGTCCTCTCTGACCATTAAAACCGATAAATAGCTAAGTATTCCAACACGTAAGCCTCTCTGTTAACATTGCTCTCTAGCTCATACTGTATTGGTGACATACTTTTCAGGTTCCCATTAGATAATATTTTCAAGACGTTCTGCAGTCACAGCTTGAGCGAATTCTAATCTGATTTTAATCAAGTAAAACTCACTAAGCAAAGAAAACAGTCTGTTGGGTCAAAAAGGGGTAAATTTATATAGTAATACGAAAGGGAAGATAAGGATAGCTATACGTCCGACTTTCCTTGATGCTCTTCTAGGCTTAATTTTATATGATGCATTACTAGTCTAAACAAATATAATATTATAATATATTATAATAATATAACATATTTGTCTTGCTGAAAACAATAGTTTAACAATCATATTAAATAAATGCTCTTGCTTCATAATGAAATATTTGATATTGAAGTCTTTCACTCCAATATGTATGATAAAGATGTCATGTTCACATTTTTACTAGTATCATGGGCTAGTAAAATGAATGTGACAAGTAAGTCATCATCATGACGATTTTCTTCCACGGATTGCTTTGATGAGTTTTGATGATGACAATTTTAAATGAAGATATAAAACTTAATCAAGTAAAGATTATTGTACAAAGACAATGAGAAAATAATTTATTTCATGCAAAAAATTATGCACAAAGCTTCACCTCACTCGGTCTATGCTCACAAAAACACAAAAATGTTATATTGAAAACCTTAAATAGTATCATTGAATTTTAGAACAAATCTATAAAATATCATCAGGAAATTCTCCTAGCAAATCAGAGTTACACTACATAAAATTAACAAGACCAGATTTAATCTCCTAGAATCATGCTCTTATCTAATAGTTGATCTCAAAATGATAATAAGTTCTCGGATTGACAATTTTTCATTTGATGTAGAATTATTTTTCAGGTTTTTATATCACCAATAAAAATTAAAATTTGACGGTTTGATTGTATATTGAAATGAGGGTTTTTTATTGAAGAAAATAAATAATACTAATTATTCATTTACTTATATAATTATAAAACAATGTTTTCAAATGAAATAAATATCTTATACTACACATCTCAATCATATTATATCAATATTTAAAATACGTAGTTTAGATTTTTATGATTAAAATTTTTAATTAAAAATAATAATTTTTAATTTTATAAGCTTGATAAATTTATTCTTCTATCAATTTATTTTAAATATGTTGTATTTCAATCCTTTTCTAAATAAATTAAAATCAAAAATCTGATCAAAAATTCCAAAAAAAATTTGATTATGTGAACTTTCAAATTTTCTTGCAAATTTTATGCAAATTTTTACTTGGGCATAGCTATCCATCAAAATTGACACAAAAAATTTTGATTAGCCTCTGATTAGTGAAGTTACATGCAAAAAACACAAGATTGCTTCATTCAAAATACTAATTGTGTCACAAAATGTTTTTCTGGATCTTTTATATAATGGTAGCTAAGCTAACAATCATAGTCGCATACCTAGTGTTCACTAAAATCTAAATTGATTGAAAACTTTACTCATTGATTCATGTCATGAAATATATAAACTGTATTGACTTAATGATTTTTCCATAAAATTTTAAATATGGACTGAACATACATCACTTTATTATTATTTTATTTTCTTTATATCATTGAATCATAGCCAAACTATGATAAAGTAAGAATAAAAATGCATATGAGTTCATCCTACTTTAATATATAAATCTGCAATATGATATTGCTTTGAAAAAAATTATATGGATGAAATATCAACAAGAGTTAAATATCAACAATTTTTTTTAATTAATTTTTTTTTATTAAATACATTTTGATTGTGAAAATAGCACATGATTTCAATATTTTTAATCTATTGTACACCATCAGATTTATGTTTAGATACAAAACACTCTAACTATCACAATGAAATTCAAAAATTACTAGTTCACAAATTTGTGACAAATATAACTTGTCTAAATACATTATTAATGTATTTATTTGATTGTTCTTACAAACTAAACTTAAGTAGTAGATTGCACTACACATTTTTGCAATAGGAAATTTTCAATTAATTATAGTTCATTTATAATTTTGCTTTATATAGATTTTACAATATCATGGTGAGAGTAAAATGAAATTTTTCTAATGTTAAGTTTTTCAATTATAATTCAATTTGCGCTGTTATCTAATTACACCAATTTTCATTCATCTTTTTTCATCTTTATTAAGTGTACATGGTGAGGTGATTGTGATCATTTATATACTTTTTATGAAACCTATCTTTGTTGTTTGCGTTGCATTTGAATGTGACGTTTTGTTACAAGAATAGTGCAGAGTTTGATAATTACAGACAAACGAAAATTGTGAGTCTGATTGGTTTAAAACCGATTTGAGTAGATATTAAAGCAAAGCTCAAAGAGAAAAGTTTTGCCACTAAAGATCAAACGGCATATATAAAGGTTTACGATGTTCATTTTCGCTGCTCTCTTAAGCATATTCGGTGTGAAATATTGTAACAGTCACAAAGTAACGAGGATGAGTTCGGACAAAATGAGGCCAAGACCATGATACTTGCAGAGGACGCAGAGAAGATAGTTTAAATATAAGCGCGTCTCACGCTTCATCAGTATGCCATTTTTTCATAAAGGTACAATTACATTGGCCTAGAGTGTTGGGATGAAACCCATGGCGGACTACAAAGCAAAGCCCCTAGACCGGAAAGGGACTCACTTGGTAAGATAGCCCTTGAATATCCGTCCGTTGTTATGATACAATAGAAACATTTAAAGTTTTCATGCACAGATAGCTTCCTAGTAGGTTGATCAGGTGGGAGGTTGATTTCAATCTGTACACAATGCACCAAGAGGCGGGCGTGGGGAAAATTCTCTCCTGCCTCTCTTACTTACCAGACATTACTTACTGCTGACATTGTCCATACAGGACGCTCGAATGGACCTTTCGAAAGGCCTTATGTTACAATGTTGAGCTGCGTTCCTAAGGCTCTACCAAAACTTGTCTCTCTTTCTCGTTTTCGGCCTCCCCATCATCCGACGTTGTGACAGTCACGTAATCGCTTGTTGGTGTTGGGTTTGTTGTATGGAAGCAGGTGTCCGGCATAGGGAGCCGTGGTAGGGTTAGAGATATGAGCAATGCCACGACCTGACAACAAGTCAAGGATACAACTCCGTGTTTTTCAGTCAAATTTAACAAACCACACTCAAGCGCAACCAGCTTAGAGCACTTCTCGACTCTAATTATGTAAAGGAAGGTCAACGACATATTTCTCAGAAGACATGGCCTTACACCTCAAGCTGACCTGATTTTTGAAATTCCATGTGAGCCCATTCATCCATCCGTGCCAATAAATCTATCAATCCCCACTTCCTGCTCATAGCTATGAACTTAACGGAATGCGGTGTGAAAAGAACTTACCACGGCAGTTCCACCGATTATGAGCGTGAAGCCGGGACAATTGAATGGTGGGTTGTCGGACAGAAATGCAGCTGCCATCCATCAGAAACAGCAAGATAAGGCTTCAAATACCTTGAGCAAGACTCTCAATTCAGCACATCGTGACATATACAACTATAAAATCCGTCACTACTGGAAACACTAACTATCATTAGAACTAGACGTTCAGAAGGAATTCTATGGCATGACGGTGGCGTTCTTATTTTCTTGTACGACAGTTAACGATATATCTGGTTTTCTTGCGCAAATTCTGTTTTCAACATCCAGAGAGCTAGTTTCGTTTTTCCTCTTGTTCTGTCCGTTAGGTGTTGCAGCAAAGATGCAAGAGATTTTGGGGCAAGAGCAACTCTGAATGTACCTGTCAATGGTGTCACGGCTATCGGGCCAATAACACTGGCCACGGTTTTAACAGAAACAACTAATCCTTGCACTTTACCCTGCAAATTAATTCCAGCAACCAATTAAAATTAGTAATCCACAAACAAGAAGAATGGAAGGCTATAAAAACATTCAGAAAATGGGCACGGTTGAGATCATATTCATTAGATAGTGAAATGAGAAATAATGTCGACTACCATCTAAAAGGACAACGACGTTTACTGTATTGCTTATTCTCTGTTCGATGACGGACCCCGAGACATTTTTAGAAGGTTAGTTAGAATATACCAAAGACCTCATATCCCAGCAGGATTGAGGTTCTTCGTATAGGTGTAAACTTGTAGTAATTACAGATAGGAACGCAAAAGATAGACAACCAAGGGACGTAAATTCTACATTCCTGTCATCCGTGAAAGTCATGACAACGTGTTACAAATTAGTACAAATTGTAGAAACCACACCAAGATTTGTAAATTACAAGTTTACAAATCTATCTGGTATGTCTAAGAAAGCAATCGTACCTGTTGTTCTGGATCTGCTCCTCTCGACACAATAGTACCAATCTGCCAGAGGAAAAAGACGAGGCATATCAGCACACATGAGGGTAGTGAGAGACACTTTCGATTGGGTGAGATTCAGACAAATCGATACTTTGATGTACGTGTTACATCGCGCATTAGATTCCGCAGACTTGATAATCAACTAGCATGAGAAATATCAAAAATTTGTCCATACTATCTACATATTGAAATAACAACAATCGATTCGTTCTTCTTCGTTCGCGAATTCAAGCAACGAATTACTTACAGCTGCGGGGACTAGTGCAAAAATTATTCCTAGCGAACAGGAAAAGTAGAGAACCTGCACAAAGCAAACCACATTTTTCAGTAAATTTCGTGAGGCGAGTAAAAGGAACACCATTTCCAAACGTAGTTCAGTGCAGTGGACATAACTCAAAGAAAAACTCACCCATTCTGCCCACGCGAACGCGTACAAGTAGCACTGCAGAAATTCACGATTCAAGAGAGTCATCAGCTTGAGAGTATCCAGCTTTGAAACGTCTGGCCATCATGAACTTTTACAATCCTGATATTATCGAATAATTTGTGCACCAACTTTTACTTCCTTTGAACTGATTAGATTAACAAGCTATCTGAAAAGTGGTGATATAGACAGCAGTGAAACGAAAAGTTATCAATCGAAGGGGACGTGATAGTGTGCAGCTTACATTCACAGCACTTCCAAGTAGACCGACCCACAAAACTCCACGCTCTCCGATGAAATGTGCCAGGACAGGATACACAAGCATCTGAAAGAGCCAGAATCAGTCAACCTCTCATGAGGATTCGCCCAAAGAGGAGCGCAGGCCTTTGACACAGCACCATTGCATTAATTCACTTTCGACAGGTGTCCACGGATATTATTGCTAGCTAGCACAAGTACATGCAGCAAGCTTCGAGCATCGCGGGGGGAGGAAAAAGTCGCGTTGGAAACTACAGGCTTTTTTATCTTCTTCTACGGGGTGGACCAGGAAAAGCGGATGGTTCTTAAACAGCAATCGTGGGATGATGTGAGTACACTGTCCTCTTCATGACCGGCAATATTCTCTCTAACACACGATGATGACTCGGAACGTCACTCAGGTCGACAGAGTAAATCACAAATATCGCGATCGGGGAATACGTCGTATTCAATACGATGCAAAATCTGTGTCACGACTCACGACGATAAATTTAAGGAATAAAGCTCTAAATATAGGTCTCACTTTGACCACCGGATCCAATCTACTCGCCATTCCGTAGCTCTAGCTCGACTAGGCTTCTCTGGATCTGTAATTCGGAATTAGTTACAATCATTTGAAATTTCACTTGCAATAACATCTGCTTAATAACGTTACCTGAGAAATGATGGAAGCTATCCCCATGAGAACCATGAACTGGGCAAATTCATCTTTGCCGAACCCGAACTCAGCTTTCAAATAGTACTGCGTGCATTGGGCAAGTCACAACGAAGATTCCTTAGATGATAATGTGACGGCAATCATTCTCGATGCGAATGACCGACTCAATAGTCCATCAAAGCTTGAGTGAAAGGGAATCAATGTTCGACGGCAATTTAGTGTTGCAAGGATCCACACGAACCAGATTTGTATCCTACTACACTAGCGAATTGAGAGCGACTCTTGGCTAGAAAAAAAAATGTCCTTGCCAAAAGAAACCACGCGTACTCGAACTACTTCTACGCAGTCCTGAGCTGCTGCGCTGGGAACAGACTACGTCTGAATCACAATTTGTCTTACAAGAAGAGTAGATGAAAAAATTGCTTCGGCGACGTGGACCATGAAAGCTACCGCCGCCACAGTTCTCAGCAGTTTACTGCAACGCAAACAACGAAGAGATCATCCCACTCGAGTATCAGTACGATTCAACTGACTCGAGATGAGACGTGAGCATCCGATACTTCACATCGACAGTTAACTGCTTAGTTACGTACCTGCTACGAACAGCAAGGATTGTTTCTCTCAACATGCTCGTCGTATTTGTTTTGGGCATTAACGAAACGAGCTTCTCGCTGTCCACATCTGATGTTGGCTGAGTAGTGTGCCTGGGGTGGGACTCGACCACGAAAAGCTTGAGGATGACAACCGTTACAATGTGGAGGACTGCAGAGAGCTGACAAGGTAGTTCACAAGATTAAGGTCAAAATTGGGCTTCAGTTCCGAGGATAGCAATCAGTGAAAGAGAAACATATATGTTGATGTCGTCACTTCCAGCTTGTATTACGTACTTTGAAAACCTGGAGGGTGCTTATAACTCGTGCGAGTAAAGTCCCCACGAGTAATCCGATTGAGATCGATGACATTGCGATGCCAATGGCAGGTGCTCGTTGTCTGGCCTCGGGAACTACGTCCGCCTGTTTGTCATGTGTAAAGACAACTCAAAGAAGTCAATATCGAATCGCATTGTAAAATTCTCTTGAAGTTTATTGATGAGAGAGATTGTCTTCGAAACGACCAAGACGAACGAATCGGTCGATGTGATCGAGTGAAAAGTGAAAAGTTCAGTTGACAGTCAAAATGCCAATTTATTCTTTTCGCCTCTCTAAGAGTATTAATTTCGAACGAGAATGCAGTCTGAGCAAAAGTCTACGTTCATGTGCCTATGTAAGCCATAAACTACCTATGTCGAGAATGGAAACAATGATGACTTGGTCGAAACAGTTAGAGCTTTAAGAGCGCTATACAATATGAGAGAAAGATATCAAAGAGTGAGCGAAAGTCTGATCATGTATTAAATATCCATTCTAGATGACCTCTATAGGAGTAGACTTTCATGCGAGGCGAATTGCAAAGTTGTGTTCAAACTTCGGGTGAACGGGATATATGAACACACTCACCACAAAGGCGAAAGTAATCGACAGCAAACCGGCTTCTCGTAGCATGCCACTAATACAGTTCAGCCCCCACCATATGTAAACGTATGTTGATTCTCTGCTGTAGGCAAGTATAACTGATCAACGCAATCAATATGCCCCTGTAATTAGTGACCAATTTACACCAACTGAGCTTGTACACAAAACGAGCATGAAATGTCGCAATCCTGCAAGGTGCCTACCTTATAGGCAAGTCGCTTTCAGCCCTCACAATCGGTCTGCACGATCAAATTAACGTCGGCCCTGGGTTCCAGAGACCAGACTATGCACTCGCTACACTTCGAATTTTTAAGTCATGAAGCTCTGTTCACTGTAATCTAGAATACACAGAATGTTCACTACTTACTTGCTGGCACAATGCTCCCGGACATAACCAATAGAATCACAGGTTTGCGTCCATAATCGTCTGATAAACTCCCAAGGAGAGGTGCCACAAAAATTGCCCCGATCCCAGTGAACTGCATGAGCACAATCCACATAAATTCATGATAGGCGCCGTCAAGAAGGGTTCGTAACCATTGCAGACACGATTGCTGACACAAATCATAAACTTGTGTGTTCACGATGGAAATTACCAGAGCATACACTTATCAAAATGAGGGAAGTTACTGAAACTTACCACGGTCTGCAGCCCAGCCAAGAAAATAACCTCACTGCACTCATTTTGCCCGTTGCAAAAAGCTCCGACAAGGACGTCGATGACTGAAGGAAGTGCCGAGGAATAGGCTGCCACATGCAAGAACAAAGAGAATAACAAGGGCGCGAGAGGCCACACCGCCTTCAATCTCTCTGATGCAACGCTTCCTCTGGCAGCGTAAGCCATTGTGTTCAACGACTGCGACAGTTCACTCGTCCGAACCCACTGACTGTGCGTCGCTGACAACTGGCTGCACGACCATGCAATCACGTGCTTCGTTGTTGGTAAAGAGAAGTGAGTCTCGGAGCGCTTTTATCACAAACAGTTTGCAATTGGATTCTGGAATAAACAATTTAACTCGACAAGTTTAGCACATGCTGACGGCACTTTGGATTTTCTATACTCCACGTAAAATCCTCGCTTCTCTAGTCCTCACTGCACGTCCAGACTAGTACTGTTAAAGTAACAGTTGCAAATTGAAGACAAATGCGGGTTCCAACCGAAGAATCCCGCACCGGGGAAAGAAACAATTTCATCTACAAGTGTGCACCACGCAAGCTCCTGTCTCCTGCGGGGTCACATCTTCGGGTCTAAGTTTGAGCAGAGGAGTGTTTCTGGGGAAATGGGTGACAATCTAACAGGCCAGCGATCGTGCCACTTTCTGTGACGGCTCTAGAGATCGTCTCAAGTTCTTCGTACTTGACAGACGGTTAGACACTAAGAGAACTTGCTGCACCAGCATCTGAACAACTTACTTTTTGTCTTCGGTGAGGGCTTAAAAATTTCAGGATCGGCCGCAGTAGGTGCCCGTTAAGCTCATCATGCTCTGGCCTCATGCCTGCCCACCTTCCCGCAACCGAAGCCCCACTCCATGCAGCACCAACAACAGCCTCTCAGCCTCTCCACCGTTCAGGTTATGCGAATTGACTTCATGTCGGCGTAATACTTAAAGCCGTAGCAGATCATGAGCTCCAGGCTCCTCGGGTCCCACAGGCGGGGCCGAAGTCAAGTCCATACGACATCTGCTCCAGCTGCCGGTGCTACTGATCATCCTCTGCTAGCCCGCTCTACGATTCGCCTTAAGCTCCAGAGGAGTGACCCCCCCGTCCCATTCCCTCTTCTAGCTTGCAGCTGTCTCTGTCTCAACACGTACACGTCCTCCAAGGATCTCTCAACATCTACGATCGCTACATGCGCATGTTCGTGCTACTCCGATCCGCAATCTCCTACGAAAAAATTCGAAACACGACGACCGCCCTGTTATCACACGTACAGTGACTCATTATAGCAGTACCGATACGGCTTCACTTTCACATTGATCAAGTCGATCATCGTCAACGAGGGTGACCATGGGAGAGCAGACGAAGAAGGGAAGGTCAAGAGAAACGTCGACCCCAGAACAAAGGTTCGGCTTCCAGAGAATGCGGCCCCTTCTCTACATTCGAGCCACGAGGCGCGTTCCGACATGTCCACCTAACTCCCAGTCTGTCCCCCAAGACCACCGCCAAAGTCTCCACCTTCACCTTCTTCACGCAATGTTCCTCAGCCCCACTTCGCAGCTCGAAGCACCTAGCGCTCCATCACGACAGGCTTGGAGATTCACCATGCAGGCATGCATGGCGGATCCACAGACTTAACCGCACGTGTTGGCCTCCATACCATCTACGGGTCCAAGTGTGATGGGTACCGGCGAATCGCTCTCGTCATCGACCGAGAATCTGGAGAACCGGGTTTGACGACAATTTAGAGGATTTTGATAATGGGGGCCGGGATAAACCTGGGGGCGGAGAGAGTTGGATGACGATAATCTGGTTTGATACTCCTGTGCACCGTATTTTTCCGCAGTGCATGATACCGAAGTCTACTCGTTCATGAGCACGTCCCCATGCTAATCCTGCTAACTGTTACCCGGCTCCTGTAACGTGGCGTGCTGACGCCATCCGGGCAATGTTCCCGAAATTCTGAGGGGCAGGGCAGGGCCGGGAAAACATTTCTCGGATTCACGAAAGCCCCTCACTTTTGTAAAAAATTGATAGAACTCGATGTAGTAAAGGCTTTGATGCGCCGCTCATTTTGTTCGTTGCCTCGCTGATATTTTCCACTCGTAGTTAGCCATGCTAGAAAGGTATTGGCTCGTAGCCCATGTTACAGGTTTGATTCTTGCACCGTTTGATGGGATTATATTTCACACTGTCCACTTGTAAGAAAGCCTGTAAGAGGATGGAAGACCCCAATCGAGGAACGGACGGTATGCATCCGTTCAGACCATATAATCAATATATGGTCTGAATTGTGATGTTATCCATTATATTATAATGGATAACATCACAATTCATAACATGTCCTATTGTCTGTATGATAGCGTGACTGTAGCATCAAAAGTTCAATACATTGCTCGAGTATTGGGATTTTTTAAGGTGTTTTCGTACTTTTTTATTTCGTGTACTTGAGAAGCAATCGCTACGAAGATTGCAATTCCAGTTTTGCTTTACAACCTACGTTTGCATTACACTTTTTCTTTTTTCCTCACACTGGGACATGTCTGATCCCCTTTGACAAATTTAGTCTTCACGGAATCTCATTATTACTTTCGACTTTTCTCGCTTGGTTTTTCTAAGGATAGCTCTCCTTTCGCTCTGTCCCATGTTTTTGACTGTAACGTAAGCCGGTGGTACACCAATGTAGGCGCAATTACCAGGGTCCTGATTACCAGGGTGATAATTGTGAAGAATAATTTTCCGAGATATTGTATTCACCGTACAGTACCGGATAGAGGACCCAATACGCATGTTTCCACGAACAGAACATACCAAGAACCAAGCAGTCAAGCAAATTATGTTCTGTCTAGGGTAATGGTCATGACGGTGACTGAATAGTGCGTATTTTAACAACTAGTCACGAAAAACTTCTTACATCCAACCGTAAAACCCAGTTCTAACGTCAAATATTTTGATAGTGGACAAGCCAGTTTTGGTTTATGGCCTACAGCTAACTCGAAGTACTATTCGGTTCATTTTATACTGAATATGGAGTTTGGATAAAATACATATACTATTAGCAGTGTAGAATAGGTATGTACATGTCAGTCGTCTTTTGATAAGCTACTCACTTCAGTTCGAAGGTTTGACCCATAGACGTGCCCTTATATTATGACTTTGCTATACGTGGATGCTAAAATAGTTTTCTTGTGGATTCAACTTCCTGATACTTGTTGACGAGACTTTTACTGGTCCGTGGTGGGGTAGGCAAATGAATCTTTGTTTTCACTTTAAATTTTTTTCAATTCTTCCAAGAATTTATCTTGGTGCTTTCGATGTTCACTGAGCGATTCTGTTGGAAACCGCAGTCTAAAGCGGCCACCTTCCTCTTATCCTACTTGAACAAATATTTCATTGAGTTATATTTATTTACTAATCTATTCACAATATACTTATATACACGCTTTACTGACAGAAATTAAATTTAATATCTGTCAGTAAAGCTTGATTGGAATAACTTTACCAAGTGGAACCAGGGCGGATGAAGAAACATGTATCGGAAACAAAAACTAAAGTAAGGTGTACACGGAATCAAATTTGAGCTTCTAGAACTATGTGAATAGGAACTCTATAACCAAAGATACGTGGAAAATTGATTTCCTTTGTTCAGTTGGAAATTTTCCATTATATTACTTCACAGTGTACCCAATGTTTCAGTATTAGAGGTAAATTTATCACGGTATTAAAATTCAATATTCAAGCTCATTATCGAATGTCTTCACATCAGATCATTAGGACCGTAGCGTACATCTTCCACATGTTTTGTGACGTCTTCACGTGCTCTTGTATAGCTCTCGATGGTATCCTTCTCCTCCCATTTTGCTCTGAAACATAAAATCTCACGTGATGAATTAAGCATGAAATAATTTTGATCATTCATGCTAATGTAAAGCATGCTGAACAATTACCAAGCCACAGAGAAAATGATTGGAAACACACCATCACTTTATTTGGAATAAATCAAACGGGTAGGATGAGATGGGTACCAATAGCTTCACAAGATGAAATATTTCTTACTGCGACTAAGATACCAAACTATTTGGATTGAATAATTTACATACTGCAGTACATGAGCATACGAAGACACATATACGTGATGGAATCTTATTGGTTGCATCAACTCTCTTTGGAGAGAGTTGTGCTCTATGTAGAAATATACAGGGGCCAAAATAGGCCAACAAATACAAACTTACTAAGCATCACTATTGCATTCTTGTAGATATCATTCCAACCTTGCAGTTTTAATCATGTGGACAAACTTTAAGCTAATTATCAATAATATCACAAACCCGTTTATTTGAATAAAAATATCTATCAAAAAAAATTTAAAAATGGAATATTTTATATTCAGTGAAATAAAATTTAAATTTTTATAAGGTTATTTAATTTTTAGAATTTTTTTTTTGAAATTTTAACAAAAAATGTGAATGTTAATCAAACCAATTGCATTTTTATTTTACAAACTTTATAGACTTCTCTTTCATTTTTCTAAAAATAAATTTTAAAACCAAATTATTAAAGAAAAATGCAAAAAAATTCGTCAAGTATAAGATTAAAAATAACTAGCATGTGATTATTTCTAAAATCCTCATTGTTAGTCAAATTAGCTTCATGTCAAAAGTCAAGCTTTCTTACTATCTGATCTAATCTAAAATCACTATAAGTATATGAAAATTTTCAATTTAAATAGTTTTAAAATTATATTTAGATTATTTTATATATAAATAGAAATTCTAGATTTCTAGAATCATTTAAAATTGATGAATTATAATTACGTGTTCCAAAATATTAAAATCTAACATTTTTAGATCCATAGCTATCAAATAATTTTGAAATATATACATTGTAATGTAACTTTAAGTAGTTGTCAATACCTCTAAAGTGATGGAATCTAAAAACTTTATCATTTTTTGCTTACGTATGTGTTAAGATGATATACATCTTACTTTCACAAATGATCACAATAAACTCATAAAATCTTGATCACAGATAAAGTGAACATTAACAGATAAAAATAGCTTCTTGTTTCCATGTCCAATATCATTTCTATCTTGATGAGGTACAATATTTATAAAATAAAATTAATTTTTACGTATTATAATCATTTATTATATATGGTCAAGTTCATGACAATAAATTTTATCCAATCGTAGATAATTACCTTTTATAAAGTAATTTTTTTTTGTCGAATTTTTCTTATCATACTAGTTTTGTCATACCACATTGTCAAATAAACACTAAAATGTGGCGCATCAAAGATAATAAATGACTTACATTTCAAACTCATCAATTGTACATACTTCACATATATTAATATGATTCGATTATGTTAAATGCATGTTTTCTTATCTTCTATTTTAATAACATATTTTATTAATATTACGTAATTATATGAATTTTAAAAAAAAATTATCCTTTGCAATTTTTTATATCCAACTCTAAACGTTATATGTAGCAATTATACCTTTATTATTTCATAAAAATGTTAATAAATATAAATAATTAATAATATGAAATATTAAAATTTGAATAAATTTCAAATTATTAAATTATCTAATATATAGCTTATATTAGCTATCAATATGATATGTAATTTTTTTAAGAGATGATATAAGTCAAAAAAACGACATAACATACATCATTTTGATCCTTATATTAGTTGAACCACATTACATATAATTCTGATTGAATTTTCATAAGCTTGAGAGCATATAACAAAATTTTTTCATGTTTCATAGTAGTTGCCTTTTGAAATGTTAGTAACCTCCTAATTAATTAAAAAAGTAAATTACATTATATGGAAAAAATTATAATACAAATCATAATATTATTTTAATTTCAAACACTAGATATTTTTCATAGCATTTATAAATATTTTTAAAAAATTTAACATTTTATCCATGTCATATATGTTAAATTTAACAATTTAACCATGTCATTTTAAATTTCAAATTTAACATTTTATCCATTTTTCATCTAAGATTTTTTTTCAGCTAAATTCTTTTCAACAATTTTTTCTGTCAAAAAACTCGTTCTCTAAAAAAATTATTAAAATCATTACATAATTAAAATATATGATCAATAACAAATTTAGGATTAAACCAAGATTAAAATGTTGTAAAGACATGTTGTTTGATTCAATTCATAAACATCAGTTTTTTTCATGATATATTTTTGTATACTGCAATTTATTGTGATTATCTTTAGAAAAACATCATTTCATCTTTAATTTTATGATTGAAAGTTAGTGCAAAAGATGAATATATATCCTACAAAATGAGTGCTGAAATTTACAAAGTTCAAAAAAGTAAGATTATTCAATCTTGAATAGCAATCTTCTGATTATGATGGATCATTAT